GCTCTAGTAGCCGTGGTCCATTTCATCCCACGGTGAAGATAAGAGGAACTCACGGGCCGGTCGATGGAGCTAGACTGGCCCGAGGACGGGGGCGTACCGCGCGGGCTCGTCTTGATCTAGGCCGAGCGGGACCGCGAGGACGCATGCGGGGAGGAAGGTCGCGGGGGAAGAGACCTGTCGGTGTGTCGTTGCCGCTCGTCCTATCCTCTGCGACTTTGGCGAGGCTGCACCGCCTAGGGTTCAGATGCAGTGGCGATGGGACCGCGGGGGTAGAGACGTGTCGGTGTGTCGTTGACGCTCGTCCTGACCTCCGCGGCCGAATGTGGACGATTGGCTCGTGCGGTGGGCGCTCCAAAGGACTCTTTACGGAGAGTCCACATGGATGCGCGTAGGGTGTTGCAGCGGAACCTCCCAACAGATCCGCCGCGGGAGCTGGGGGAGCATCATCTGAACTTCACAATTGAGGGGATGTTGTCCTGGCCCCATGACCCCTGGGTAGTGGACTCGGGGGAGTTCGCTGTCCAGCATGGAGGAGCCCGAGTTGGAAGGCTCGTCTGGTGCTCAGCGAGCCTTACATTTGGAGTCGGGGGGCCGTTGTGTCTTCCTTCTCGGGAAGGGGCTGCGATGTGCGCGACCAGCCGCTGGTGGGGCCGCGGACGAGCGATAGCGTACCCGTGCCTGTACCTGCAGCGGAGAGGAGGAACACCCCGGGGTTTGGTCCGGTCGGGTTCAGCCCAGTCCCGCATAACTCTGCCCACGCAGTGCCGGGGTATCTGTAAGCAGATTCCCTCCGGTAATAAAAAAAAAGTAGCCACAACAAGTTACATCACTAAGCACGTTATTCCAAACAGTAATTGAATGTTATCAATGGAATATTGTCGATGCCAGTGATGCTCATTCGATGCATTATTCAACATAGTAATATAATTTCGTAACGTAGTGTTAATCACGCGTGGTATTTCATTTGTACGGTATTATTAAAGATTTATACGGGCTAATGCTCTTAGTTATATGCTTTAATAGGTAATTAGAATAATTAAACAAATCTCTCAGCTGTACTAAGAAAGTAGAGTTGGGATGAAGAATATCTATGTTTTTATTGTAATTTCCCACATGCGTTTTTGTATGAAATATCAGTATGATGGTGATTTTTGAAAGAGATATATGTGAACGATAATATCATTTCCCGACAACTCCGTCATTTTTACTTTTAACTAATGGGACAGTGAAAATGAATGGAGGCAGTTCATAAATGCGGTAATTATCTTTTCAATTCAGAGACTGTAATGCACGCTATAATTATCAAATGTCGGAAGACACACTGTTTTTAAAAGACTGCTACTCACTTTACTAATACAAAAATATGATCTCAGCTCTACTATGAGCTTAAATTAATTTCCCCAGACAAGTTGAAAGGATCTTTTATGCACTTTGCGAACTGTAGTTTAATCATATTCTTTTTTATTCTTTCACAAATAATGGAATCCAAGGCCATATTCTGTAGAAATATTAAAAAAGTTTTTAATAGGTCATTGTTTTATTAACAGTAATTTAGAAAGCATCTGCAACCTTTTAAAAACTTATAGTGTAAACTTTATGGACATGAAAAGGTGTAGGTGGAATGTAGCCAGGCGCCTGCATGCTAATACAAAATTCCAATTACTTTATGACTAATTTGCTTCATTTAGACATTTCTCAAACAAGTCGATTTATCAGTGTTCTTGTTGTCTGCAAATATAATTTACAAAATGCTATAATAAAGACCAGTATATAAATTAAATTTGTTGACCGTTACATAGGTTGTAAACTTTAATCCGTGTCCTACAATTCGTGACCTTTAATAACCTATTATCAGTGTTTGAACGCAAAAAACTCAAGGTGAGTCTTCGAGACGTCTCGAAGTCCCAAAAACCTCGAACTTTTAATTTAGGCTGCAATCGGCTGCATAGAAATGGGCGGCAAACGCCCATCTTTGGCGCCAGGTGTCGCCAAATTGAATCTCGGTAGCTTCAACGAGTTTTTTGCCATCTCTTTATTAGTTTCATTCAATTTTCTCTAGTGGAAATACTTTATTAGTTCAACCAGTGGCTTGAAGGAACTGTCACGTGGTAACCAGGACAATCTGGTTTTAATTGTCAGTAGGAATATTCTACATTCGTTGCTCACGACACAGCGTCTGCGTGGCTATGTACATGACATGCGTCTTATACGAAAGCATAATGACATATTAAGTTTACTGAATATAACATTACTATCACGTAAAGATCTGCAATAATCACATGGAGAAATCACTAAGATCTTCTTTCGTTTCGTCTTCGTTTGAGACCAATCAGATCGAATTTTTGTTTATGATCGATCTTTGTGTTGATAATTTTATCGAAACTAATGAAGTGATTTCACAAAATAAAAAAATAAATAAACAAAAATTATTACAGTGACATCTCTAGTCAGATGCTGGTGACTGTAAAGGTACCTGGCCGAGTGAAGCAAAACTTCCATACATTTCTCACAGATGGCGCTACGGCAAAAACGTCTTTAAAACTAAAAGCAAAGATCTGCAACATGGACAGAAATATTCGTACAGTCTGTTGATTCTTTCCGTAGCTCATTTGGGAAAGCATCAGTCACGGTATAGCGAAGTCGCTGGTTGGAGTCCAGCTAGAACGAAGGAATTAGTATTGAAAGAAAGAAAATTCATTTATTTGCACATCACAAATGACATCACACAGAAAAAGAAAAAAAATGAAATAAACAATCAAACCTAAAAAATAAAAGAAATAAACAGCACAGTGAAAAAAGAAATAAAATAAAAATAAGAAAAACATAATACAAGAATAAACAGAAAACAAACAAAAAAAACATATTCGATCATTGTATTAATATTATAAGGACGTCACACACTGCTTAAAGTTAGCTTGGAGGGATGAAAAGGGAACTATGTCAAGTAACATAGTCACTAGAAAACAATTTCCACTCCATTTATCATATGCAAATGTATTCGTAAAAGCAAATATAGCAATCCATCTTCGAAACTTCAAAGATACCTTTCGGAGTAAACAATCTTGCGGTAAACCGTTGCTCATGACATCACCACCTCCGGCCGATGGGCCTTGCTAAATATTTACCCACATCCCATACAAACTGAATGTTGTTTACTGGGACACACTTTGATCAATGATACTTATAATACCTATTTTATTGACTTGTTCGGACTTTTATACTATTAAAATAATAATATGTGTGTCTGTGAATGGTGCGTGTGCGTTATAACAATAATAATAATGCACACACTCATAATAAGCCCCGCACTAGGGAAACCCTGTATCGCAAGTGCCATGGACACACATAGACAAATTTAGGCCAATCGAACACAGGTCCTTTGCGTGGCGTGTAGCATAGTAACCGTTTGGCCACGTAGTCAGTTTATTTATTGCAAAGAGAGCAAATATTCAAATCAGTTGGTAAAATATTAAAGTCCGTCTACACGACCGAGCTTAACAGTGAAAAAAATGTGCTTGGATTATGTATGACAACACAGTAACTATTGTATAAATCACAATTATACGTCCAAAATGTAAAGATAGAAATGTCATGAAATGTCATCGTCAACGTATGAATGCAGGTACGTTAAACATTCTATTTTTAATGAAATTGAAAAAGGAGAAGCTTCTCATTTTTTCAAATTTAATTGTCTATTACAAAATATTAACAACAACCAAAAACTTTACAACAACACACAATAACAATTTAACAAACGCACTACGAAGACAAGAAAACATTCGAGTACATTTATCAATTGGTAATAGAGTAATCGAGGTTTAAGGTACTTCCATTTTTTTTCCGTGAGTAAAGCAGTGGTGTAGTCATTTTCGACACACTATATCTCTTTACTTTTACATGCTATGCATTTGTCAGAGCAAGTAACTTAATTACGCCTACCTATAAAATTTTGTTTGTGGAACCAACTTATAGTATGAGGCTAGAATGTACCAGAAACGTCTATGTTACGTATATGTATGTATAGTTCTTTCAATCAATTCAATTGTCCAGCATTTAATATACTCTAACGTGTAGTCACTTTTATAACTCTGCAGCTGAAAATAATGTCTCATTGAATACAATGCGGAAAATTGAAATGAAATTAAAGGAAACGTTGCGTTATTTTCTCTTCACAAAATAGCCTTAAGAGTAGAGGAGTAGGGGATAAAACAAAACAAAGATTGACCAAACTGTTTTGTGAGAGACTGATGCCCGATATAGGTTCAGAAAAACCTGTATTACGGGTCACCAGGCTTCCACTCTGCAGATGAGCAATGTGGTTGTAGTTGTGACACAGGAGAAAAATTTATTAAAGCTCGTAGGTAACGTCAGATTGTTTATGTCTGAGCTCGCATCTCCTTTTCCTTTCCCATCCCAATCTGCGCTACGCCAAAGCCGCAACATCACAAATTTTTAATTAACTATCCGCATCTCCGCCCGGCATTAAGCTGTGTACGCAAGTGTTTTTCAAGGGGCGATGAAGCAGTAACAGCCCTTCGACGTTTTGGATATAAAGGTTGGTGGCAGCACGGCTTCCCTTCCTTTTACTTGGCGAGCTCACCTATCCCGCAGCTCTCCACGACCTATCGAAGGTTTTGTAATATTTTTTCTTGTAACAACGTCACCACACGTAAATATTCCTAAGTTATAATAAAAACTATTAGTGCAACAAACTAAGTATTTAGACCCTCTAAAGTTTAATACCAAATAAACTCACGATATATTATAAAAAAGGAGGATGACGAGAATGAGTGTTTATAAGGCTAAGGCTGTAAATAAATATTACAACAGAGAGATGGATACATATATAGAGAAGGAGCTAAAATTCCTATGAAAATCTATAATTTTCGTATAAGATCAAGCGGAAGCCTATTTATTACATTGCCTTACTGGACAGAAATGTCCGTATGAAGAAATAATAAACCATTTTATTTTGACATTTTGAATGAATATTTATTGATATATCATCAATTATCTACTTTAAACCAGGTAGGTTTACAATATCGGTGGTCGGTCAGTAGGTTTAATAATTATTGGTCCTTGTATTTTACGGCATTTGACATTTGGGCAACAGTCAGGATACTTTAAATTAAGATCACCTTCCACTACTCTGCAGCCTATTCTAACAGAAGCGATTTCTCCGCAGCTGAAAATAATAATTAAGCTATAAATAACGGTATATTATCTTCATTATGAGCTAGTGATGACTGGAAAAGATGCAGTGACGTAACAAAAAGCCAGATACCTTTATAACAGTATACTTTAGAACAGTATGCGATGCGTGCTAATGTGGAAGTGACCACTCCATTTTTTAATTTAAGTAAATTAATTATTGTTATAGTATTATTTCTAATGTGAATACAATTCAATTTAATGTAATTCTTAATTATTTACTTCATTAATATTCGGTAAATAAAATTCTATTTAATTGGTTATGTAATGTAACATAGTGTAATTAATTAACAATGTTAAATTTATTAATGGGTGTATACCTAAATAAAGATACATTTTTTTATACGATGAGAAACATTCTCGTTTTAACCGACTTCAAAAAAAGGAGGAGGTTTTCATTTCGACTATGTTTTTGTATGTATGTTACGCGATGAATTTGTGAACCGATTTTGATGATCCTTGTTGTGTTAGAAAGAGGGTACCTCAGATGCGATCCGATTTAAATGTGAAGAAAATAATCCACCTCTAAGGGTGGCAAACTAGGGGATGAATGACTTTTGAGGTCGGTTTTTTTAATACTCTTTACTGTTTTACTAAGATTGTTTGATGTAGTGTTGTGTAGTACCATTAATCTCGGTTATGTCACCGACTTAATACATACATACATACATATATTTCACGTCCTTTTACCATCATCATTTGCATCGGGCAATAAATAGAAAAAAATTTGAATGTAGTTAGAAAAAATTATTCTATAATGAAAACGATAATTCGATCAATATTTTTGTAAAACAATAATGATTTGTATCTTAAATCAATAAATAAAATCTGAAAACTGGCATATTTTAATATGTTACGCAAACAACAAATACACCACGTGACGTTCGCGTAAGACCTTGAATTTCTTCTCCCTTTAATGACTTTTTAACAAAAATTTTTAAACATTTTGGATTGTTTATCTACAAACGATGTCACGCGTTCTAAATTGACAACTAGTGCCGATAATGTATTTAAACACAGTTGTAGGAAATAAAATAATATTTTTCTTAACGATATGAATATCCGCAATGTTTAATTAAAAAACAAAATTAATTTACCAGATTATATGTCGCCTATTCCTGTTTTTATATAACGTCAAGTGAAGGACGGATAAATCGTGCGCCATATGATAAGCTACACGCCTGTCCATAACAGTTGCATTGCCACTCAGAACTTTAAATCGCAAAAATGTGAGGGGCACTGCCATTGTGCCTATAATTTCACCAACACCCTGCTTGGCGGCAGAAATAGGTAAGGTATTACAGGGCAGTACTACCCTGGACGAACTGTTTCACAAGGAGCTGTACTGCTACTAAATTATTATGGTAAATTTTTTGTCAATGCGGAAAAAACTTTATTTCTTATAATACTTTGATACTTCCATAGCTTTTTCTTTTTTATTTACAGTCAAGAGCACATCAAGCTTTGGACCATTTTTATCATATGCGGTATAGAGTTAAATATAGATTTTAAGTGTCAAACTTCTCTTGAAGCGTGAACACACAGAGAGCGGGTAGGGTCGGGCGTGTGTCGGGTCGGGGCCGCGGCGGGTCTAATTCCGTGTATTTATATGGACGACAACACATCAAGTCTCGCGCGTGCGCCCGTTCCGCGCCCTGTGTGGTTAATTGTAATTAATCAGGGATCAGTATTCCTAGTAAAAGTGTATATTTACCTAAATTTCAAGGAAATAATATACATAGAGTAAATAATACCTCCTTCTAAAATCCTAGAATTATTGCATTGTGTTTTGTGCTATACTTTGTATGTGTAACTAGCACTACTACGGTAGTATATTCAGTAGAAAAGTTTAGTTATTGTAAGTAATACATAATATTAGGGGTTAAAGTATGAAATTGCCGTTTTATTGCAATAGGTTCTTTGAATTTTCATAGAATCTTCATGGTTTGAGGATTTCGAATGAAACTTTTTTCAAATGGTTTCTGTGATTTATTTTTTTTTTTAAATTTGAAACATTTGAATATCGACTTTCAATTGTTTTTGTTATTCAATTTAGACAAGAAAGATGGATACTGCGAAAATTCGAGTGATTTTTGAATACGAGTTCCGACGCGGAACTAACGCGGCAGAAACAGCCCGCAATATCAATGCTGCGTTTGGAGAGGGGTCTACTAATGAACGCACCGTGCGATTTTGGTTTAAACGCTTTCGTGATGGAAATTTCGACTTAAAGAACGAGCCACGAGGAAGACCGCCCACACAGGTGAATAACGATGAATTAAGAGAGATAGTGGAAGCCGATCCTAGTCAAACTACCCAGGAATTAGCGGCATGGCTTAACGTTACCTTACCCACAATATTGACTCACTTGCGTCAAATCAATAAAATAAAAAAATACGAAAAATGGGTGCCTCATGATTTGACTGATCTGCAGAAAGAAACGCGTGTTGAAACTTGTGTTGCCTTGTTGAACCGGTACAGAAATGAAGGAATATTGGATCGAATTGTAACATGTGTTGAAAAGTGGATTCTTTATGATAACCGGAAAAGAAAAATGCAATGGCTGACCCCAGGTCAAATGCCACAACAGTGTCCTAAAGCAAAACTTACCAATAAAAAGGTAATGGTAACTGTTTGGTGGTCTCAGCATGGTGTTATTCACTATAGTTTTCTCCGATCTGGTCAAGCAATAACGGCACATGTCTATTGTGCCGAACTCCGAACCATGTTGACAAAACTAGCAGTAAAACAGCCCCGACTCATGAATCGATCTTCACCATTATTGCTCCACGACAACGCGAGACCTTACACAGCACGAGAAACCATTTTGACCCTTCAGGAACTGCAGTTAGAAACCATTCGTCATCCTCCGTATTCACCAGACCTTGCTCCAACGGACTACCATTTTTTTCGTGATTTGGACAATTATCTATGTGACAAGAAGTTTTCTTCCCAGGAGGCAGTACAAAATGCTTTCACACAGTTTGTGCAGTCTAGATCGTCGGAGTTCTATCGCAAAGGCATTAATAACCTTCCCATTAGATGGCAGCAATCTATAGATAATAATGGCAACTATTTTGATTAAATAAATTTGTTAAAAATTTAAAAAATAAACAATTTAGATTTTCAGTACAAATCGGCAATTTCATACTTTAACCCCTATTATTAATAGTAAAATAAGCTTGGGGCTGTAAATGTCACAACACACCGTCAACGTAGATACACACCGTAATGAATTTACTGGATTTCGTTCCGTAAATGTAGTTAAAACTAGCCAACAGGCTGAGTAAAGACAAAACAATAATAATAATAACGTGCTAATCAACCACACCAATTCAATGTCTCACACTATAGAATTCCCTGTACTATGAGTACGAGAACAACGAAATTCCCTCCGGGACACTACTTGAAACACCCAGACTAGAACCAATGAAGAAAAGTTCGTTTCCAAAATTGGTCCTACTAGGGACCTCCTCATCTAACACCCATAGAGCAAACCGTTAAACCACATTGTATTTCGTTTTACACTTTCGCTTTTTATTTTTAACCCTTGCGGTAATTCAGATGTAGATATTATCCACTATGTTACATTACTTGAAGTTTAGGTAAAAAAAATCTACACTTACGTATATTTAATGGTTTCACCACTGGCTCGACATTCATACGACGCACATTCTTTTCCCACGTTGTAAAACGTTTCCCCTGGGCCTATTACTCGATTCAATGCTTTCGAGTAGCATCCTTCTTCAGATGCTGTGAAAATAAATTTAATAAACTTAAATACAAATAACTAACAAATAAGGCCCGACGCCCGCTGCGGCACGGCACGGCAGGGAATTTCTAGGTGCCGAATGTCATTGCAGTTGATGGTAATTTCAATTATAATTGGTCTAGATCATCCAGTATATAACCAGAAATAGAGACGACATAAGGGCCATATATTCCTTCTAACACATTATCGATACAGCTCTTATAAATATCAACACTCGTTTGCACTGAAATATAGACAGGCCAACTACTGACCTGTGTGTACGTCTCCGTATATTCCAAAAAATATTCTGTATTTATTGTAATAAAGATAATATCTTTATCAATGGGGGCTATTTCATTCGGTAGTGTGGGAAACAGCAAAACATCTAATTACAAAACAAACGTAATCATATTTCATCGGTAATTAAATATTAAATATGTAATTTTGCAATTTTCGTCCATTATAACAAAGCTCAAGTTAACTGATCGATTTGAAGAGAAACAGTTGATGACACCCGTCAATTGTTTCGAACTCGAGCTAACCAATCGGAGCACAGTTGTTACAGTAATGATATGTCAGAATAGGTTTCAAACAAATTAAATGATATTTCGTCTCTATTTCTGGTTATATACTCGATGTTCTAGATATAAAAAAGCTGATCCGGAATGCCTCGGCAGCCTTTGAGATGCGTTGGCGGGCTTCCGAAGGCTATTCACCACAAATCTTCACCTCCTCGGAATATGGTTCTCTTCTTCTTCAGTAAGACCACCGTTTCGAAATATACAACTGGTAATTAACCGTTTGCCACGTTACGACTGATCTGAAAAGAGGATATCGCGATGGTAGGTTTCGGCATGCCTAAGGATACCACGACATAAATGTCGTTAGTGTGCGCTTACACGCACCTATGCCGATGCCGAAGGATCCCTTGCCACGCCCCGTTCCGCTATTGGGCGCCAGGCCTAAGTCAGACTAGACAATGACAAACGTATACAGTACAGATTCATTCCACGGTTTCCCACTAAGAATTCCCCAGGTATGGGGATCCTAAAAGTAGGTGACATATTCGTGGTTTACCGAAGACTTCTACATTAATTTTCAGCGCCAACGTCTAAAATTAATTTTAATTTATGTGTCGTGTTGTTGACGAGACACACACAAGTTTGCGTTTTCCTTAAATTTAAATTAGAGATTTTATTTATTATTATTTTAAACTTTCTATAAAATATTGGATTCAACAATTGAATTTAAAAATTCTTAAATGTCTACACGAACAACTTGCTTATTTGCGCCGTTCCAGAGTAAAATAATATCTTGATGGGGATGTTTTTAAAAATCCCCACTGCGTAGCAAATTTGCGGAATATCGGTCGCATATCAAGCCACCTTCACCATTGCGCCAGGCGAGAGTTTAAATTGCTAAAAAAATCGAGACCAATCATTTAATTACAACAAGAATGTACACACAAAATTAATTAAATATATATTTTTATGTTATTAACCACAAAAATAACAAAAAATGGACAAATCATTTTTGCATTTTTTTCGCTAAATACCGTTTTGATATTACAATGTATCTAATGGTTTGACACAGTTAAAAAGTTTTATACAATATTTATTGTTGTATGCAATATACTTTATAGACAGTTTTTGTCTTCCATAGTAGGAATAACTTTGGTTTTATTTGAATTGGTTCGCTGTGTAGCTGAATTTAAAATGGATAATGCAACTTTGCAGTTTTAATTTATCAAAATTATTTATCTTACCAAATTCTGGTGGTTTATCTTCCTTAGGGTAATTTGCCACAGCAGATTCATACAATTTTGGTAAAATTGCAACTGCCAATAACCCGACTACTAACTTGAACATTTTTTTATTATTTCAAGCAACCAAAAAACTATACTCCAAATGAGACTACTTCCATAATCATGTCTTTTTATTTTGACGTCCTTGCTACGACATAAAGAGAACAATAAACCGTTTATTGAGTAATAATTGCAATTGATCGAATTTCCCAAACTATATACATTGATTGGTTTACATGAAATTTTTGAGGTGAAAGTGATGACACTATTTTTAGATCATTCTGTGCTTTAGATTGGGAATAGTCACTTTATCTGTACTTTTTTTAAATTAAATGGCATTAGACTATCTTGTGCCAATTATTCTTCATAACACAATGATGCCTTATAAATAGAATTAAGCCGCCACCAACAATAATGACAAATTTTTTCTTCTTTAAAAAGGTACAACTCTTCATCTAGATAGAGTTAAGATTAGATCATGCAGGACATTGTTCATACAATAGTCATTGAGAGAGGTTAATCAGTTAAGTCTTAAGCTAAGTTAAAACTTGTGTTATATTGGAGTTAGTGTTCATTCACTCGGTAACTTATTTAATGTAAAAATACATTGTACACAAACAATACGTACATACATATCGTCGGTGTTTTGTAATATAAATGTAATATAAATAATAAGGCGAAAAAGAAAAATGAAGAAAAGGAAAATTCTGAAACTTAAACACGAAAATAGGCGCCTTGACGTCGAGTTGCGGACACCAGCCCGTTGCACCAAGTACCAAACTTAAACTTGATTAAAACCAAAAATAAATTTTAAAAGATTATGTAAATAACAGTCGTTAAAACCTAAAACAAGCTCTCCTGAAAAATTTTTCAAAATGGCGCTTATGCCCTGTCTCCAAAACACAGATTGTACCTTGTATATCAGCAAATTTAGCGAGCAATAGTCGGTTATTTGGATTTTTTTTCATCAAATTTTGAAATAAAAACATAGCCGACTGTAATTTTTTCATTCATTTATTTTGATATCCTTTTAATACAGGTTTGACAAGTGGTTTGGGGTTATTTTTGTTTTCCTGCGTATTTCGTAAACTTTTCTGGAAACAGCTTTTTTTTATTTATTAAAGTTTCATTTAATCAATGTCAAACTTTCTCGTTATTTTTTTTCAGCTCTTTTTGCTCTGTAACAAAATGTTAAATAAAATTATTCTGTTTATTTAGGTTTTTTTTTTTGTGTAAGACTATATTAAGTCGATATAAGAACATGTTGACTTAATTGCTATTTTATATGCAATTCTTATTTAATTTAATACCCATAAACATTACTCCTTTATATTCTCACTTTTATTTCGCTAAATGTGCCAGTCTGTGTATATTATTTTAGAATATATACGTACGCATATATTCCTATATTATTATACAAATATAACTTCTTGAAATGTTACCAAATTGGTATTTTTTTATTAAGCATCATCCTCGTGGTAAAACTTACCACCAACGTGTATGTACCAACCACGTCCACAGTTTTAAATACTCGAAAATCTATGTGAGGTCCATTAAAAAAATGCCATTGCTTTGATAGAACAGTAATGTAATACGTTCCTACACTAAACATTTTTTCAGAACCAAATAACAATGCCTACGTTAAATCTGTTTGCACACCTTTTTAAACAAATGTCACAATTACTATTGTTATGATGTAATTTACCGCATTGTAAATACATAAATGACAATACAATGAAAATATATTTTCTTAGACACAAAAACACAAAAATTAAAATTTAAAGAAGCCATGCCAATTGTATTATGGCGTCGTTATGACAAAATCATAACGACGCCATAATATATTAGATTAGATTATATTAGATTAATGTTTATTTGCCAGAATACAGTACATATACAGGTCTTAAATTAAATTGGTACAATGTATTCAACCTGCAAGCAGGTATGCAAATATATTGGAATTTATTGGTACAGGTAATTGAAGTTAATTAAAATGTCAAATATTTCTAAATTCAAAGTATTCCTTATTACTATAGAGGCAATGTGTCATAAGCCATCTTGTCAATTGTAGTTTAAAATTATGTCCGTGTAGTAATTTAATGTCACTTGGTAAATTATTAAAAATCTTAATGCACATGTTGTAGCAGTTATTTGTATAAATTATTTTATGGCAACGAGGTTGATATAATTGATTCATAATTTTAGGCCGTGTTTGTCTTTGAAATATTTCGCCACGTATTTTAAAATGTTTAGGATTAGTCTTAACAAACACACAGATGTCTCTGATATACATACAGGGGAGAGGTAAGATGTTTAGTTTTTTAAATAGGGGCTTGCATGTGTCATCTGCTTTAGCGCCACAATTGCGCGAATGCATTTTTTTTGTATTATAAAAACCCTGCCTACATATACGGAGTTCCTCCACAGTATAAGCCCATAACTTAATACAGAGGAGACGTACCCGTGATAAGCCATCATTGCAGCGTCATGAGACACGGTTTGTCTTAGCCTACGTAGGCCAAAGACAAATCTATTCAGCCTGTTGCACACGTGATCAATGTGATGTTTCCACTTTAAATGTATGTCAAATTTCACTCCAAGGAAACTAAAACAGTCGACTGTATCTACTACTAGATCGTTATACTGCACTTGAATCAGCAATGGATTACAATTATGCGATCTGAACTGCATGAATTTTGTTTTGCTAATATTGATATGTAAGTCATTTGCATTTAACCATTTGATAACTTTATATAGTGCGTCATTTATTTCTTTTTCAAAGTGGTCTCTATCATAACATTTTAATATAAGAGTGGTGTCGTCTGCAAACAGAATGGTTTCCTGATCTACTGCGTTTGGAAGATCATTTATATACAGACTGAAGAGAACCGGAGCTAAAATACTTCCTTGTGGAATGCCGCTGTTTTTTGTTTTATAATCAGAATAAAACTTTTGTTTTATAAGACGCTTGTAATTCTTACAAATTTTATTTATTGTCGTACTTTGTGTCCTATCTTTCAAGTAATTCTTTATCCAGTCAAATGCTGTGCCTCTGATTCCATACTTTTCTAGTTTTTTCAGAAGTTTAGAATGATTAATATAGTCAAATGCTTTGCTCATATCGAGGAAAAGTGATGCTACCGGAATTTTGTCATTGATACTTTTCGTTATAATGGTTAAAAAGTCGTAACAAGCAAGTGTTGTGGATCTTCCTATACGAAATCCATACTGAGAGGGATGGAGAATGTTATTCTTTTCTATAAAGCTGTTAAGTCTTATTAAGAAAGCTATCTCAAATATTTTCGATATAATAAGTATCAGAGTGATAGGTCTGTAATTGTTAGGATCTGAAGTGTCACCTTTTTTATATAATGGTTTAAGGATACACTGTTTCAATTGTTTGGGAAACGTTCCTTCCACGAATGAAAGATTAGTAATATGTGCAAGAGGACAACAAATATGTGGAGCACAAAGTTTTATAATTTTTGTATTTATTCCATCATAACCACAAGATTTACTATTTTTTAATGATATTATTTCAGTCATTGGGGTCAAAAATATTGAATTAAATATAGATTGTATGTTCGATGTCATGCAAATTCGAGTCAAATTATTATTTAAAATTAGAATTATTATTTAAATTTAAAAAATTAGTATTCAAAATATTACAAATGTCAACAGGATTATGATATATACGGTTATTGAATTGTAGCGAATTAATGTCATCCTTATGAGAATCATTCGAGAGAGTCTGTGATATGGTGTTCCATGTCGCTCTACATTTGTTGGTGTTGCGTTTTATGTATTTAGTATTACTGATTCGTTTGGACTTCAATATGCATTTTTTAAGCAGTGTATTGTAACTTTTATAATGTAGTTTATTGTGTAATTTATTTACTTCTTCATTTATATATTTCATTTGTAATATTCTTTTGGCTTTACATGACTTCTTTAAGCCTTTAGTGAGCCATCGCAACTTTGTGAGATGGTTAGTTACTTTAACTAATAGGATTGGAAAGCATAAATTATACAATAAAGAATATAAATCGTAGAAACCATCAAACGCAGTCTCCATAATATCTGAATCTAGAGCTTCAAACTTCAAAAAACGAAAGAGAGCCTATGGAGTTACAAAACTTTTTAATGTTTTCCGTGTTATAGTCGCGTTTGTATACATGCCACATGTTATAGGCTTTTTGTCTCTTTACTTTTATATTTAAAGTTTGCGCAGTTTCATGATCTGAAAGACCTAGGTGATGAATTTCAGCATTTGCTGTTTTGATGTTGCTAGCTATTTGGTCAATGCACGAGTTTTGTCGTGTTGAAGCAAGTTTAAACTGCCTCCGTGGCCGAACGGTTACCATGCCGGACTGCCACGCAGAGGTCCCAGGTTCGATTCCCGGGCCGGGAGAAATGTTTGTATGGCCTACATTTATTTCTCCCGTGAGTTTGGGTGTAATTTGTGGTTGTCTATGTGTGTGTCCATGGCACCCGCGACACAGGGTTTCCCTAGTGCGGGGCTATGTTGAGTGTGTGCGTTATTTATTTATTTATTTATTATTTATTAAGTATATGGGCGATAAAATTGTAGTTTTGTAGGGTACTAACAAGATCTTTGGCTGCTAAATTTTGTTTCAAGACATCGATGTTCCAATCTCCACATATTACAATCTTTGCCTTTTTGAATTTTTCGGTAAGATAGGTCAATAGCAAATTAAGTTTATATAAGAATATACAGATATGCGCTTTTGATTGTTCAGGGATTCGATATATATTAACTATAATAAGCCCTGTACCTACAATCTCTACAGCACAACATTCAAAATAGAATGCGCAGGCAAGTGTTTCTATAAAAGGTATAGGTCTGTAATCCAGCAATTTCTGTATAAGAATGCACGTCACGCCTCTACTATTCCTACGACAGAAAGATGCTGCTCGATTGAAATTATTCAACTTTATATTACATTCTGCGCCTTTTGGTACAAACGTTTCACAAAAACATATTATGTCGACCTCTTTACCTATATCTTTAAATTCCCTAAGCGTC